GACATTGCCTCCATGAGGAGCTTCAGCAGTAAGTAAAAAGATGGCCACCAGACAATATCCAAGTAAGATGTCTGTCCCTGTAAAAACGATGTAGGAAATTTCTAATAGTTCTTACACATATTTGTCTTCCAATTAATCAGAGCTTCTTCCTGGAGTTAGGAATTTAGAACCAGCTTGATAAAAGAAAATGGACTAAAATCATTATGGCACAGTGTGCAGGCTACAGTTAATTCAGTGGCCAACGCAGAGAGAGCTGTCATAGGAAGGGGCAGTTGTTCTGCTGGACGCCTCTTTTGGGAGGGAAGGATTAATCCTAAGGTGCTGGGCATGTCTCTGTGGTAGCTAGTCTCCACGGTGCTCCCAAAATAATTAATGGCCTGCCTATAGGCTGCCATTCTCACCAAAAGGTAGAGGTAATTTACCCTCCCCTGAACCTGCACTGGCCTTGGGACTTACTGTTTCCAAGTGATGTTCTAGGAGTTGTGAGGACTGGCAGCTTCCACTTCTTCCCTCTCTTGCAAGCCATGCTAAAAGGAAGTCCAGCTATGCTACTAAAGATACCACATGGGGGCCATGTAAGGAAAACTGATGTGCAGCCTGATGAAGCCTTTATTGCCCTGTCAGCATGGCTGGGCTGCGGATGGAAAGCAGTCACGTGAAAACTCACAAGTGAGGCCGGGTGCGGTGGCTCACACCTGTAATCCCAGCACTTTGGGAGGTCGAGAGGGGTGGATCACCTGAGGTCAGGAGTTCGAGACCATCCTGGCCAACATGGTGAAACCCCGTCTCTACTAAAAATGTAGAAATTAGCTGGGCGTGGCAGTGTGTGCCTGTAATCCCAGCTACTCGAGAGGCTGAGGCAGAATAGCTCAAACCCGGGAGGTGGAGGTTGCAGTGAGCCGGGATCGTGTCACTGCACTCCAGCCTGGCGACAGAGCCCTTATGAATCTGAGATAGCCCTTACAAAAATTCATTTAATTATAAGAAAATACAAACTGGCCAGGCACGGTGGCTCACGCCTATAATTCCAGCACTTTGGGAGGCAGAGGTAGGTGGATTGCCTGAGGTCAGGAGTTCAAGACCAGCCTGACCAACATGGTGAAACCCATCTCTACTAAAAATACAAAAATTAGCTGGACGTGGTGGCAGAAGAATCACTTGAACGCGGGAGGCGGAGGTTGCAGTGAGCTGAGATTGTGCCACTGCACTCCAGCCTGGGCGACAGAGTGAGACTCCATCTCAAAAAAAAAAAAAAGAAAAGAAAAAAGAGAAAAAAGAAAAAGAATATACAAACTAACAAAAACAATTAAAAATTGTCAATTTTTTTTTAAGACGGAGTTTCACTCTTGTTGCCTAGGCTGGAGTGCACTGGGGCGATCTTGGCTCACACCAACCTCCGCCTCCCGGGTTCAAGCAATTCTCCCGCCTCAGGCTCCTGAGTAGTTGGGATTACAGGCATGTGCCACCATGCCCGGCTAATTTTGTAGTTTTAGTAGAGACGGGGGTTTCTCCATGTTGGCCTGGCCGGTCTTGAACTCTCGACCTCAGGTGATCTGCCTACCTAGGCCTCCCAAAGTTCCGGTATTACAGGCATCAACCACTGCGCCTGGCCAAAAATTGTTAATTTAAAAAAAACAATAAAAAGAGTCAGCCGGGCGTTGTGGCTCAAGCCTATAATCCCAACACTTTGGGAGGCCGAGGGGGGTGGATTACCTGAGGTCAGGAGTTTGAGACCAGCCTGGCCAACATGGTGAAACCTTGTCTCTACTAAAAATACATAAATTAGCCGGGCATGGTGGCACACGCCTGTAATCCCAGCTATTCAGGAGCTGAGACAGGAGAATTGCTTCAGCCCAGGAGACGGCGGCTGCAGTGAGCCAAGATCGTGCCATGGCACTCTAGCCTGGCCAACAGAGCGAGACTGTCTCAAAAAAAATAAAAATAAAAGTAAAAAAATAAATAAAAATCCCCCCATATATTTGCAAATTATATATCTAATAAGAGACTTACATCCAAATGCATAAAGAACTATTACAACCCAACAATAAAAAGACTAACAACCCAGTTTGAAAATGAACAGAGGATCTGAATAGACATTACTCCAAAGAAAATATACAAATGGCCAAAAAGCACATGAAAAAGATGCTCAGCATCATTAGTCACTAGGCAAATGCAAATCAAAACAATGAGACACCACTTCACACCCATTACACAATGGCTACAATTAAAATAGACAACGAGTACTGGAGAGGATGAGGAGAAAATGAAACCTCATTTAAGTTGCTGGTGAGAATTTAAAATAGTGCAGTTGCTTTGGGAAATCTGGTATTTCCTCAAAAGGTCAAATACAGGGGTACGATATGACCCAGCAACTCTACCCCTAGGTATATACCCAAGAGAAATGAAAACACAGCCCACACAAAAATTTATACATGAACTATTGTTCTGCTTATTCATAATAACCAAAAAGTAGAAACTATGTAAATGTCCACCAACTAATGAATGGCTATAAAATATGTGATATGGCATCCAGAAAAGGAATATTTGACAATAAAAAGGAACAAAGTTGACTAGGCGTGGTGCGGTGGCTCATGCCTGTAATCCCAGCACTTTTGGAGGTCAAGGCAGGTGGATCACCTGAGGTCAGGAGTTCGAAACCAGCCTGGTTAACATAGCCCTAGACCATGGCAAAACCCCATCTCTACTAAAAACACAAAAACTAGCCAGGCATGGTGGTAGCACACACCTGTAATCCCAGCTACTAAGGAGGCTGAGGCAGAAGAACTGCTTGAACCCAGTGGGTGGAGGTTGCAGTGAGCCAAGATTGTGCCACTGCACTCCAGCCTGGGTGACAGAGAGAGATTCCACCTAAAAAAAAAAAAAAGAGGAGGCCAGGCACGTGGCTCATGCCTGTAATCCCAGCACTTTGGGAAGCCGAGGCAGGCAGATCACGAGGTCAGGAGATCGAGACCATCCTGGCTAACAAGGTGAAACCCTGTCTCTATTAAAAATACAAAAAATTAGCCGGGCGTGGTGGCGGGCCCCTGTAGTCCCAGCTACTTGGAAGGCTGAGGCAGGAGAATGGTGTGAACCCGGGAAGCGGAGCTTGCAGTGAGCGGAGATTGCACCACTGCACTCCAGCCTGGGGGACAGAGCAAGACTCTGTCTCAAAAAAAAAAAAAAAAAGAGGAATAAAGTATATAGCAAACATGGTTCATGGACCTTGAACCTTGAAAATATTATGCTAAGTGAAATAAGCCATCTGCAAAATGAAAACATATATTGTACAAGGACGGGTGCAGTGGCTCACGCCTGTAATCCCTGCACTTTGGGAGGCTGAGGCAGGCGGATCACCCGAGGTCAGGAGTTTGACCAGCCTGGCCAACATGATGAAACCCGGTCTCTACTAAAAATACAAAAAATTAGTCGGGCGTGGTGGTGGGCGCCTGTAATACCAGCTACTTCGGAGTCTGAGGCGGAGGAATCGCTTGAACCTGGTAGGCAGAGGTTGCAGTAAGCTGAGATTGTGCCACTGCACTCCAACCTGAGCAACAAGAGGAAAACTCTGTCTCAAAAAAACAAAAAACAAAAAATATATATATTGTACAATTGTATATTGTATATGGAAAATTCCGAATAGGCAAATCTATAGCAGTAGAAAGTATAAGTGGTAGCTGAGGGTTGAAGGAAAAGGGAGTGTGACTGCTATCAGGTATAAAGTTTCTTTAAAAAATGTTGAAGGCTGAGCATGGTGGCTCACACTTGTAATCCCAGCACTTAGGGAGGCCAAGGCAGGAGGATAGCTTGAGATCAGGAGTTCAAGACCAGCCTGGTCAACATAGTGGGACCCCGTCTCCACAAAAACATAAAAAACTTAGCTGGGTGTGGTGGCACACGCCTGTAGTCCCAGCTACTCAGAAGACTAAAAAAGGAGGATCACTTAAGCCCGGGATGTTGAGGCTGCAGTGGGCTGAGATTACGCCACTACACTCCAGCCTGGGTACAGAGTGAGACCCTGTCTCAAAAAAAAAAAAATTCTAAAAATTAGGCCAGGCTTGGTGGCTCGCACCTGTGACTCCAGCACTTTGGGAGGCCTAGGCAAGAGGATGGCATATGGCCAGTAGTTTGAAACCACCCTGAGCAACATAGTGAAGCTAGCTGCATCTCTTTTTATTTATTAATGAATGTTTCAAAATTAGATTTTGGTGATGGCCGCACAACTCTGTGAATATCCTAAAGACCACTGAAATGTAAACTTTAAAGCGTGAATCGTATAAAGCTCTTAAAGAAAAAGAAAAGGCTTATCAAACAGATCCCTAGTACAGAGCCCACTCTACCCCACCTCAGTCCCTGTGCTCTTGCAGCTCTGCCTTGCACACACATGTGCACACAAGTGCATATGTGTCTTGTTCATTTCTAATAAAATGGTTCTGTCCCAGGGACAGATGAAAGGAGGTGGTCACATAAAGCCCTCAATGTGGTGCCCCACCCAGGGAGAGAGCCCACATGTAGTGGAAATCCTTCTTCTCCACTCCACCTGTGACGAGTTCTAGATAAGCATCACCTTCCTCACTTAGCAAAAGGGGACAGGAATGATTCTGGGCGCATGCCTCAGGGCCCTGTAGGGCTTAGGTAAGGACCCCTAGGAGGGGCTGAGGACAAACCAGGTTCTTGCTCATGGCACTGATCCCTTCCACAGGAGCAGCTAGGGGCCTGAGCAAGCTTCCAGTAGGATTCACGGGGGCTGACAACAGATGGAAGGTGCCAGCAGTGAGGTCTGGGGCTAGAGGCTGGGCCTGCATCCCAAATGCCCTCCTTGTACCATGGACACACAGGAAGACCCAGACTGCTGCAGGCAAAGCCAACGGTGCCTGTGATCAATCAATGAGTAACCACCCCACCCCTACACCCTAGGACACCCAACAGAGAGGTTCCAGAGTCTGTCACACTCTCCTCTCCAAGGCTCTCTGCCAGAGGGGCTCCACTCACTAGGGCCTTACCCGGGTCTTGGCCTTCAGGAACACATGGCTCTCCATATCCTTGCTGGATTTACTGTGTGCCACGCCAGCTTTCCTCATGGCATCCTCACTGAAACACAAAAGGAGAAGAGACGTTTGTACAAACCAGTGAGTTCACCACTGTGGGGCCCTGGTCAACAGGCCCTGCACAAGCAGCTGCCCCTGGTGACAAGGTGCTATCAGACCCAGCACACCAGCCTGGCTGAGGTCCAGGAGACGAATATAGGAAGGGGCACTCAATAGAGACCAACGACAGGCCACTGAGTGAGGGAGAGAGCGAGCAGGGTGATCAGAAAAAAGGGACAGGAAAGGTGGTCGCCATGAAGCAAAGAGAGAGCCCTGGCATGATGGGGCAGGAGGCTAGCCCCTAGGGATGGCTCACAACCAGTTCAGGATCAAGGACTACTGGGTGGCCAGCTGGCCTCTATTTCCTGCTCTCTGAGTGGCCTGCGTTCCCCACGAACTCTGCCAGATGGTGTAGCACCCTGGTTCCAGATTTGCTTCCTCCTATAAAATGAAGGGGACACATGAAGTCACCACTCAATTCCTCCCAAGGCAAGGGTCTGTCCCCATGTGGGACAATGCAGGTCCTATATGTGGGATCAAAGAGACAAGCTTCTAGCTTAACTTCTAGCTAGCGACAAGAGGAGAAAGACCACATAAATGTGAAAAGTATCTTTAAAAACCGATTTACCAACAATTTTGTACCAAGATAGAATCCTATGAAGGGTTTTTCATCACACTGCTGCTCCACGGGGATAAAAAGTCATGTACGTCAGTTAAGCTGGACCCCCCTTGAATGCAGCACATGCTGCCCCACCCCACCCCCCACCTCCCACACTCACACACGGAAAGACAAAAACAAGTGTGCATCTGTTAGAAAGGCCTGGACTGTGGCTACCAGGGGCGGGCGGCTCTGGTCTGCTCATGGCCTGCCTTCTTCCTAGTGGGATGGGTCTCTGTCTTGCCTGGCCTCCCACCCTGGGTTTGCTGATAAAGAAACAAGTGGCCAGGTGCAGTGCCTCACGACTGTAATCCCAACACTTTGGGAGGCCAAGGCAGGTGGATCGTCTGAGGTCAAGAGTTCAGGACCAGCCTGACCAACATGGTGAAACCCCATCTCTATTAAAAATACAAAATTAGCCGGGTGTAGTGGTGCATGCCTGTAATCCCAGCTACGAAGGAGGCCGAGGCAGGAGAATTGCTTGAACCCAGGAGGTGGAGGTTGCAGTGAGCCAAGATCACGCCATTGCACTCCAGCCTGGGTGACAGAGTGAGAAAAAAAAAAGAAAAAAAGAAACAGGCTGGGTGCGGTGGCTCTCACCTGTAATCTCAGCACTTTGGGAGGCCAAGGCGGGTGGATCACAAGGTCAGGAGATTGCGACCATCCTGGCTAACATGGTGAAACCCCGTCTCTACTAAAAATACAAAAAATTAGCTGGGCATGGTGGCAGGCGCCTGTAGTCCCAGCTACTTGGGAGGCTGAGGCAGGAGAATGGCGTGAACCCGGGAGGCAGGGCTTGCAGTGAGCGGAGATCGCACCACTGCACTCCAGCCTAGGAGACAGTGCGAGACTCCGTCTCAAAAAAAAAAAAAAAAAAAAAAAGCAAGCATGTCAGGGCTCTGGGGCCTTGCCTCTGAGTGAATTGAATAGGCCCAGTCCAGCTCATGCTAGAAAGCATTCCGACCACTCCAAACAGCAACCAGCTAACCTCCGGAAACTGAAGGAATGTACACACGGGGCTGCAGCAATACGACTGTGATTCTTAAAGACATCACAGAAAGAAGGTTTAATGCTCAGAGGTGCACACATCTGTCTTAACATAAAAAGAAAAACAAAATGACATTGACCTATCACCCTGCTAGATTCAAAAAGCATTCTTGGGCCGGGTACAGTGGCTTAGGTCTGTAATCCCAGCACTTTGGGAGGCCAAGGCAGGTGGATCACCTGAGGTCAGGAGTTTGAGACCAGTCTAACATTACGAAACCCTGTTTCTACTAAAAATACAAAAATTAGTCCGGCATGGTGGCAGGCACCTGTGGTCCCAGCTACTCGGGAGGCTGAGGCAGGAGAATTGCTTGAACCCAGGAGGCAGAGGATGCAGTGAGCTAAGACGGCACCACTGCACTCTAGCCTGGGCAACAGAATGAGACTCCTGCACTCCTGGAGTTCCTACCTCCCTGTCTGCTTCCTGAAGCCTGAATTGAAGCGAGGAGGCAGCAAGGGGTTCCTGCTCACAAGGCATCCAGGGGTGGAACAGAGAAGTAAGGGGAAAGGTCACCAGAGTCACAAAAGATGAGAGAGTTAACAATTCAGGAGGATAATGACAACCAGCTCACGCACGGTGCTGGGTCAGAGTTCTGGGGAAGCGAGGCATGGGTGGGCTGGGAGGACCCTGTGCGCATGCTCTCAGGTTGGCGCGGGGCTGGCTCTCCACACCCAGAGGCTGAGATGACAGCTGCTAGGCCCCAAGAGGTCAGTGAACATTTCTGATAGAAGTGGCTGCATAGGCCTGTTTCCTGAAGGTTGTCTCACCTGTGCCGCTCAAGGCAGGTATGCCCTTCAAGAGCACACCTGTTCTTCCCACCTTCCTTTTTTCTTTTTCTTCTTTTGATTTTTGAGACAAGGTCTCGCTCTGTCACAGGTTCAGCGCAGTGGTGCAAACACAGCTCACTGCAGCTTCAAACTCCTGGGCTCAAGTATCCTTCCACCAAAGCCTCCCAGATAGCTGGGACTACAGGCATGTGCCACTATGCCTAGCTAATTTTTTTTATTTTTTACTTTTTTTGTAGAGACAGGGTCTTCCTTTGTTGCTCAGGCTGGTCTCAAACTCCTGGCCTTAAGTGATCCTCTACCTTGGCCTCCCAAAGCACTGGAACCAACAGGGAGACCCAGGGGAGAGCAGTAGAAACAGCAGGGGAGCACTTGCAGGCCAAGCGGGACAGCCTGGAGGCTGGTTCTGTGAGGAGTGGGGAGGCTGTCGGTGGCGGATGTGACCAGGAGTCAGAGATAGAGAAGGTGCAGAAGAGTCTGGGAAGTGACAACCAGTTACACGGATGGGCCCTGTGCTCACCAACAGCGATCAGAGAGCAAAGCCAGGCTTGATACAAAAGCAGTCCTTTTGAGCTGCTACTGGCCATTTTTGAGAGTGTCAGCAGACTGGCAGGCCCCAGACAGACACTGTCTTGGTGCAGCAGAGACACCTGGCACAGTCAGAGAGACAGGATCTAGAAACACAGCTTAGTGCAACAGCTTTGAGGTGACGGGATGACCAGGTTGAAGAAATGTGCTTGGTGAGCCGAAGGCAAGGTGGCACCATACACCAGGGGATGTGCTGGCGGATGAGCCCGTCCTGTCCTGGGTAACGTCACAGATGACGTGGACACCGTGAGCACCAACTGTCAGCTACTCAGAGCCTGAGGAGCATGGACCAAGCTGGAGGCCGGAAACAGGCATGTCTTGACAGGCCAACACCAGGAAACTGAGCTGGGATAAATGTCCACTTCTGCATGAGCTTCAGGGGGTCAGAGTGGGGCCGAGGAGCAAGGTGCTCCTCCAGCAAGGCCAGGGCTCCGAACAGCAGCACTGTGCAATGTCACTCCCACATCTCCTCCACAGCATCCACCCATGGAGGCCCAGCAGGTTTGGTGGCCAGTTAGACCCTATGCGGTTTGCAGTTCTGTCAACCGTATTTTTAAAAATGTCTTTGCTCCTGTTTCTAGTTTGAAGATCATGTGCCACAAAAGAGATAAAGTGAAAAAGAACCCAGGAACTCTGCAGCTAATCCCCCACACTTCCTCGCTGATGCCTGCCCTTTCCTCTCCAGCTGGCCTGGCGCTTTTCAGAGGCATCCCCTGCCTGGGCATTGACTCCATGAGGGCACCCATTTCACACTCATGCTGAGGTCAAGTCCCCTTCCTTCCTCCCTTAGACCTAACACGCCTGCTGTGGGAGGCTGCAGGCAGGACCCAGGCCCACCTTCAGAACAGGACTGGCTGCTCCCAAAGCCCCCTTCTGATCTCCCTAAGCTGGGCTCTGCCGCCATCCCCAGCATGCCTTCCTGAGCAGCCAGACCCGAATGGGTCTCTGTCTCCTGAAAACAAAACCCTTCAAGCCACTGTCACGAAATGAAAAGAAACTATCACACAAGGAGACAGCCCCAAACATGGAGCAAGGAGCACAGCCTCAAAGAAGAGAGAACCAACCTGTCACGGTGAGCTCTGCCCCAACACAAGCAAGCCCGGAAGACGAGGGACCGTCCAGCCAGATGAGGGCAGGGAGCAGACTGGTGTCAGCTCACAAGGGAAGACCCTCGATGACTGTCCTGCCACAGTCCTGTCCAACATAAGCAACAGGTTCGAAAACAGTACAGGCCTATGAGGCGGCCGCCGAAGAACCCAAGGCTGCCTGGGTGGTGTTCACACTAGCTGACGAAGGGGGCGGGGAGCCACTCCCTGTTTGCAACCAGCCAGACCTCTGAACACAAGGGTTGTTACCTGCTCAGAGCACACAGTCCCTTGCTGTGAACTGGGCTCCCATGCTCTGCCTTGGGCCATGGTCTAGCTGGTTGCCATAGCTATGTCTCTGCACTCAGTCAGGGTTCAACTGGTATCTAGCTTAGACAGAAGCCTCCCAGGGGACCGATTCATCATTACAGGCCCTTGGAGCTCCCCCACCAGGGGGTCTGAGGATGTCCTACTGTCCAGAACTGTCCCCAGAACATGGTGTCTTAATGGCACTGCCTGACCCTGCCTGAGCTCTTGGTGTCTTCATCTCCCAGCACCAAGTGCCCATCCCAGAAACTTGGGAACCCCCTTCACTTTCTGACTGCCGCCTTTAATTCTCCAAAGTTCCAATCTTTGCCCCAACTCCCACTGCACCTGTGGCAATTCCTCCCAAAGGGCCTCTGTCTCCCGTTCCCATTCCTATCCCCACGGCCTCACCAGCTCCCCAGGTCACATGACTGCCAGTGAGCAACTCCCACTGAGTGTGGGAAGCAACCTGAGCCCCTGCTTGCCTTGAGCCTCGCTCCTCACCAGCAGGGCAGGCAGCCTGTCCAGAAGGCCACCGAGGAACCTACTCCTGCACCTGCCCCACACACTCTCCCCAGGGCCCCGGGGACGATGACCTATTGTCTGGCACATTAACTGACTATCCCACCCTGCTCCCACCCAGGCACCCCTGCTGTCAGCTGCACAGAAACCCTGTAGCCACCTCACCCATGTCTGTGGCACTTCCTGGAGGAATCTCTGGTTCCCGTGTGCCAGTCCCACTATACCAAGAATACCCTGAGAGCAGAGACAACGGCGTCCACTTTTGTGTGCAGCAGGCAGTCATCACTGCCAGGCAAAATAACTGGCTCTTTTTAACACAAGGAGTGGTACTGTCATGCATTTTGATGGGACACGACGTGCAGAACGGAGAATCAGCGTGGCAGCCATGGGGGAAATCAGGCCTCAAACAAGCACGTCCTGGCAGTGGAGGACAGGGTGCCTGGGGGAAGGCGTGTGCTGGGGCAGGCAGCTGGGCCTGGCAGGAAGCAGACAGAGGAGGAGGGGCCTGGGCTCAAATTCCAACCTAGCCACTCACCAGCTCTCCGTCTTGGGAGAGGCACTCCCTCCCCCAAAGCGTGGCCTCTTCATAAAGGAGGGCTCTGAGAGGCTGTGGCCAGGATGAAGGTGCACAGAGAGGACCAGGCAGTGAGGACAGGCCCAGTGTTGGCTGGGTCTACAGGGCTTCTGCCCAGCATGGGCCTGTTGTTCCTCACCTCCTTTCTATTCCAAATTGGGAAACTCTGTCAACAAGAGCCCAGTCCCAGTCCTTGTAATCTGAATGAGACTAAGATAAAGCAAAAAACTGGCAAACTGAGCATCCTAGGGAAGGAGCACAGGGCATCAAGCTCAAAGCCTGCTAAGGCCAGTGAGGCCTGAGGTAAGCTGCCCCAGTCTGCCCTCAACCCATCTGGGAGCGCCTCCCTGTCCTTCCTTTGCACAGACAGTGGGGACAGTGCCGACCTCACAGGTGGCGCTGAGGATGACAGTAGTTAATATTATAAGGCACTGGACATACAGGAAGTGCTAGGTATGCATTAAAGAAATAAGTCAGGCAACAACCTGCCCAAATGTGCAACAGGACAGCATCCCAAAACACCTCCGCCATGTGTTGAGGTTATTGTCGCCCCCTCCCTAGCAGACGATAGACCAATGAGCATGTGCAGCTCCCTCAGGCAGAGCCACCCTCCCACTGGAGCTCTGAGTCACCTGCAGTGTACCCTGAGGCCAGCCCCACAGCCCACAGGAAGGACACTCACACAGGCATGTTGATGAGGCATGAACTGGCCTCCCCACCCCAACTCCCGCTCTGCTCCGCTCCACGCCCTGACTCTTCCCTCCACACCCACCCTGGTTCTCACCAAGGACCCTCTCCCCTCTGAATGAGGCCTCTCCCCTGACCCCACCCTCTTTACCACTGCTCCCCCTGCCACACTGCCAGGCCCCCTTCCCTGGTCTAACTACTTTCCCATTGCTGAATGCGGGCAAGAATTCCCAGGACGGCCAGCTCCTCTGTCCTCCTGCTGGTGTCTAAAGCAGGAAGGTGCTTTCCTCCCTGGGGCACAGACTCACCCTCCTGACCTCAGGGGGACAGGATGATTCCTTCTAGCCATTTATGGGACAGATTTATGTTCTGCTCCAAGGAAACTTCTGTGAGTTTCTTCTATTTTTGAGAAACACAACACCTATCAATCAAGTGAACTCTCATAGGGCGGAATAAATTTTTGGCAGCTCCACTTCACCCCACCCAAGAAGCCTCCTGGTAAATTGCTGCCTGTGTGTGCAGTCTGCTTGCCCACCTGGGACAGGAGCCCACAGCTTGTACGTGGGCCCCTTACCCTATGTGTTGAAAACCTAAATCACAGAGGACCAAAAGACAACAGAAGGAGAGTTAGACACACAGTCTCAGGATGAAAAATATTTCCTAAGCATGTCACCAGAAACAGACACCATAAAAGAAGAAAGATTTTCCCATATTGAAGATTTGGGTGGGGCGCAGTGGGCTCACACCTGTAATCCCAGCCCTCTGGGAGGCCAAGGCAGGTGGATCTCTTGAAGTCAGGAGTTCGAGACCAGCCTGGGCAACATGGCAAGACTCCATCTCTATTAAATACAAAAATTAGCCATGCATGGAGTCTCGCTCTGTCGCACGGGCTGGAGTGCAGTGGTGCGATCTTGACTCACTGCAACCTCCACCTCCTGGGTTCAAGAGATTCTCCTCCTTCAGCTCTTGAGAATCTGGGATTACAGGCGTGTGCCACCACACCGGGCTGATTTTTTTATTTATAGTAGAGACGGAGTTTCACCATGTTTGCCAGGCTGGTCCCGAACACGTGACCTCAGTTGATTCACCGCCTCGGCCTCCCAAAGTAATAGGATTACAGGCATGAGCCACTGCGCCCAGCCTCGATTCTTTATGGAAATTGATAAGCTGTTTCTAAAATTCATACGGAATTCAAAGAACAAGAATAGACAAAACAATCTTGAAGAAGAACAAGAGTTTGAGAACTCACATTTTCTGATTTCAAAGCTCGCTACAATACAAAGCTATACCAATCAAGACAGCATTTACTGGCAAGATGATAGACATATAGATCCATAAAATAGAACTCAGAGTCCATACATTTATGGCCCATTGATGCTAAGAGAAGGGTCAAAACATTTTAATGGGAAGGAGTAACCTTTTCAACAAATGGTGTGGATGCATTTGTGTCCTCACACCACAAACATGAAGTTGTATACTTAAACCACAACATATACAAGAGATAAAATTGATTTTAAAACCCAAATGTAAGAATTTAAAACTGTAAAATTCTCAGAGGAATAAATCTTTGTAACCTTGATTTAGGCAGTGATTTCTTAAGCTCTACCAAAGCATAAGCAGTAGGAAAAAAAAGGTGAAGTTTCATTTCATCAAAATTAAAACCTTTTGTAAATCAAAAGACACTAACAAAAAATTGACAATCCATAAAATTGGAAAACAAAAATTGCAAATTACTTATTTGATAAAGGATTTGTATCTAGAATATAAAAAACTATTACAACTGAATAATAAAATACAAACTCATTTAAAATATGCAAAGGGCCAGGCGTGGTGGCTTACACCTGTAATCCAGCACTCTGGCAGGCCAACCCAGATAAGACTGTTTGAGCCCAGGATTTTCAGACCAGCCTGGGCAACATGGTGAAACCCTTTCTACAAAAAATGAGCCAGGAATGGTGGCATGTGGCTTTTAGTCCCAGCTATTCAGGAGGCTTAGGTGGGAGAATCAATTGAGCTCTGGAGTTCAGGCTGCAGTAAGCTGTGATTGCGCTACTGCCCTCCACGCCTGAGCTACAGAACGACCATCTCAAAAAAAAAATACATATACTATATATAGACATATATATACTCGACATACATATATAGTGTATTTAGTGTAGATACACACTAAAGAAATTTATAAAATCTTAAGAATGAGCAAAGAGATCTGAATAGGCATTTCTCCAAAGAAAATACATAAATGATCAATAAGTACAGGAAAAGATGCTAAAAATCAACAGCTACCATGGAAATGGCAAAATCAATACCACAATGAAATACCACTTCACATCTCCGGGATGGCCAGAACCAAAAAACAAAAACAAAACACGATCAGATAGCAAGTGTTAGGGAAAGAGGTGAGAGAATGGAACCATCACATACTGCTGATGGGAATGTGAAATGGTGCTGTTACTTTGGAAAAGTATAGGAAGTTCTTCCAGTGGTTAAACAGAGTTACCATATGATCTAGCATTCCCACTCTTAAGTACATACACCCAAGACAAATGAAAACATATGTCCACACAAAACCTTTTACAAGAATACTTACTCATATCACACCAAAAGAGTGAAATAACCAAATTTCTATCAACTGATAAATGGCAATAAAATGTCATTATCTATACAAAGGAATAGTATTTACAAGTAAAAGTAACTGATACATGCTATAAGAGCAGCTGAACACTGAAAACATTATGCTAGTCAAAGAAGCCAGGCTGGGGCACTGTGGGCTCATGCCTGTAATCCCAGCAGTATGGGAGGCCAAGGTGGTGGATTATCTGAGGTCAGGAGTTACAGACCAGCCTGGCCAACATGGTGAAATCCTCTCTCCTACTAAAAACGCAAAAAATTATGCCAGTCAGACACGGTGGCTCATGCCTGTTAATCCAACACTTTGGGAGCCGAGGCAAGGTGGATCATTAATGTCAGGGCGTTTGAGACCAGCCTGGCCAACATGGTTAAGCCTCATCTCTACTAAAAATACAAAAATTAGAGCTTGGGTGTCAGGGCGGCAGGTGCCTGTAATCCCAGTACTCAGGAGGCCTGAGGCAAGAGAATCACTTGAAACCCAGGAGGCGAGAGGTTGCAATGAGAGCTGAGATGCACCACTGCACTCCAGCGCCGGGCGACAGAGCGAGACTCCTCTCAAAATAAATAAATACAAAAAAAAAATAAAAAAAAAGAAAAGAAAGAAGAGAGACAGGGCTGAGAGTGAAGTCCTTGAAAGGATATACACAAACATACACCCTCCTCCCCCTGCCTGCATATTGGTATCATCTCAGTTAAATCAGCAGTCTTTGAGCTAAGGTTGTAAACTCTAATTGTAGTATTATCTAGCCTAAATTTTCTATCTTTTCTAGAAGGAATTTTCTGAGAGCTTCCACGTCTAATGACGCTTTTCCTTACACGCGCCACCTCTACCCAGGCAGCACTGAATGATCACTCCCCCATCTTCTCACACTGAAGCTTTTCAACCATTGTTGCAATTGTATTACAGTGATTTGTTTACAAGTCTGTCTCTGCTACAAGCCCAAGCTCTCTGCAGAGGACAGAAACTTAAATTAACTGGAATCCAGACCCTAGCAAGAATGCCTAAAATTTAGTCTGTTTATTTAATTAAAAAAAAAACTAC